CCCCCTGCCGCAGCGTCATCTTCATGGGCTTGGGATTGCGCAGGACCACGGCCATGGAGTCGACCAGCCAGGAACCCGCACGCGAAGGACGCCAGCGCTGCAATCCAGCCGATGATCACGACCTCCCAGAACGCCGAGGGACAGTCTCGGGGCGGCGCACTACGCAGCTGCTCAGGGCCACACCTGTCCAGTTGCATATGCAGCAGCGTCACCAGATCCTTGTCGTGCTCGGCGGCGTACGTGCACGTACAGTGACAATCTCGCTGGAACGAGTTCCAGAGGTTGGCTGCGTACAACCCTGTGGTGGCCCAATCTCGCACTTGGTAAAGTGCGGGAGCGAGAAGGGCCATCACCAGCGCAGCTCGATCAGAAGCGATGGCTACAGAGCGTGAACAAACGGGCGTCTGCGTGGAATAATCCCGTGCAACTACTATGTCGTCTTCTGTGACCGATCTGCTCCAAGATAGCCCCAAAAGCGCTCCCAAGGCCCCCAACAGCGCTCCCAAGACGGTTCCAAGACGGCCCAAGCGGCGGCCAGTACGGCCCAAGAGGGCCCCAAGACGGCCGTGGCGCCCAAGAGCGGCGCGGAGCCTCCCGAGGACGCCCCCGAAAAGCTAAGACGGCCCAAGAGGTCCCCAAGACGCTCCAAAAGAGCCCCGAGAGGCGCCCTAAGAGGGCCCCAAGAAACCAAAACCATTGATTTTCCGTGGGCGTTCGACGCTCCAAGACAGCCCAAAAGGCATGCAAGACCGCTCCTAGGCTCCCAAGACGGCTCCAAGACTGCCCAAGAGGGCCCCAAGACGGCCCAAGCGGCGGCCAGTACGGCCCAAGAGGGCCCCAAGACGGCCCCAAGAGCGGCCAAGAGGCGCCCAAGAGCGGCCCAAGAGAACCCCAAGAGGCTCCAAGACCGCCCCAAGACAACTCCAAGTGGCCGCGGAACCTCCCAAGGACGCCCCCGAGAGGCCAAGACGGCCCAAGAGGCCCCCAAAACGCTCCAAAAGAGCCCCGATAAGCGCCCTAAGAGGGCCCCACGAGGCCAAAATCATATGGTTTCCTTGAATATTTCAGACATTTTAGCGTTCCCGCCCTTTTGGCTTCCCGACGCTCCAAGACAGCCCAAAAGGCCCGCAAGACCGCCCCAAGACGGCCCAAGAGGCTCCCAAGACGGCTCCAAGACGGCGCAAGAGGGCCCCAAAACGGCCCAAGAGGCGGCCAATACGGCCCAAGAGGGCCCCAAGAGCGCCCAACAGGCGCCCAAGAGCGGCCCAAGAGGCGATATTTCGGGCCCCGACGGGGGTACACCAATAAATGCTCTCTCATTCTTTGCGCGATGGCCTCCAAGATGGCCCCAAGAGACCTCCCAAACTCCCACAAAGAGCCCCGAGAGGGTTTCAAGACTCCCAAAGGAGTCCCAAGAGAGCCCCAAGAGAGCCCCAGGGCCACGATCCCCTGAGATCCCAAGAGAACCCCAAGATCGCACGGCAACGCCAGGAGGAGTAGGACGAAGAGAAGGAGCAACGAGGACGAGGAGAAGGAGAGGAGGATGGAAGAAAGAAGCCAAAGAGAGGGAGAAGGAAGAGAAAACACCCTACGGTCAGCGCACCTTTTTCGAGCGGCTGCTTTTGGATGGGCTGGTGGGGACTCGCGATGCGTAAACAATTTGGCATGCATGCGGACTGGCAGGAAGGTCAAAAATACAATTTAGCGATACCTCCTTGTTGCCTTTTTCCGGCAACGCTGTTACAATAATGCTATTCGTTATCCTTCCTCCATGCTCCTTTTCCCTCATTCTCGCCCTACCCTGCGAACGAGAGGGCGCGCCGCTGGATGACCCCAAAGGGGGGGGGGTTGGGATTCCCCCCCTTTCACCGATCGGGAAGACCTCCCCCTCCCCCTCTTTCACGATCCGTCGTCGGGGAACCCTGCCCCCCCCTCCCCCCCTTTCCCGGTCCGTCGTCGGGGACCCCCCCCCCGTCGGGGACCCTCCCCCCCTCCCCCTCTTTCAAAGGGGGAGGGGGTAGGGTCCGACCCCACCCCCCCTCCCCCGCCAAATTCGCCCCCCCCCCCCTTCGCCAGGGCGCCCCCGGTCTCCCGAACCCGACCCCTACGACCCCTAACACTAATCCTTACCCTTGCCCTAGCCCCTAACTCCAAATCCGAACCCCAAACAATACTCACTACTCATTACGCACTACTCACTACCCACAATTCACTTCTCACTACTCACTTCTCACTACTCACGACTCACTACCCATTACCCACGACTCACTACCCACGACGCACTACTCACTACTCCCTACCCACTCATTACTCACTACACACTAGCTCACTACTCACTACCCACTACTCAATACTCACTACTCACAACTCACTACCCACTACTCGCTAATCACAAATCACTACTCCCTACCCACCAACCACTATCCACTACTCACACTGCACTACTCACTACTCACTGCCCACAACCCACTACTCACTTTTCACTCCTCGCTACTCGCTACTGCCTACTCCCTACACTGTACTCACTACTCACTACTCACTACTCGCTACTCCCTACGCCCTACTCGCTACCCCGTACGCACTATTCACTACCCACTGCTCACTACTCACTACGCTCCCACTACTCACTACTGACTACTTCCTATTCCCTACTCACTACTCCCAACTCACTACCCAGTACTCAATACTCACTACTCATTAAACACTACTCACTGCCCACTACTCATAACTCACGAAGCACTACTCACTACCAACTACCCACTATCCACTACTTACTACTGAGAATTCACAGTTCACTACTCACTACGCACTGGCCATAACTCACTACTCACTATCCGCTAGTCGCTACTCCATGGGACATATTCACTACCCACTACGCACTACTCGCTACGCACTACTCGTTACTCCCTACTCACTAGTCGCAAGACACTACTCACTACTCACTACTCACGACTCACTAATTTCTACTCGCTACTCCATACTAGCTACCGACTACACAGTACCCACTTCTCGCTTCTCTCTACTCGGTGCTCACTACCCATTACCCCCTACTCACTACTCACAACTCACTACTCGCTACTCCCTACTCCCTACCCGCCACTCACTACTCACAACTCACTACTGACTCCTGACTACTCCCTCCTCACTACTCACTACTCCCAACGACCTATTCGCTACTCACTACTCACTACTCACTACTCGCTACCCCTACTCGCTACTCCCTACTCGCTACTCGCTACTCACCACTCACTACTCACTACTTCCTACTCACTGCGCACTTCTCAATGCTCAGTACTCACTACTCACACCTCGCTACAGTATTCGCTACTGCCTACTCCCTCATCCCTACTCTGTGCTTACTACTCACTATGCACTATTCACTACGCACTACTCATTCCTCACTACTCACAATTCCTTACTCACTACTTCATTCCACTACTCACTACCCACTACTTACTACTCACAACTCACTAATCTCTACGCGCTACTCACTACTACCACTACCCAGTACACACTACTCACCATTCGCAACTCACGACTCACGGCGTACTACTCACTATCAAATACCCACTACTCACCAACCGCTACTCAAAACACTCTACTCTCTACTCACTACCCGAGAGGCCCCCTCCCCAGCCCCCTGTTCGGCGCAAAGGGGGGGAGGGGGCGAAGGGGGGGGGTCGAGAATCTCACCCCCCATTTGAAGGGGGGGAGGGGGGGGGTTCTGCGAGCACCTCCCCCCTGTAGTGTATTCAGGGCCATCCACTGGCGCGCTTTCGCGAATTCTTCCCCATCCAGTAAGCTCTTTTTGCGAAAGGCTCCTCCTTGGAGAGCCTCTGGGGGCCTCACGGAAGTTTTTCAAACTTTTTTAGAAAACTCTCTGGAGGCCTCCTGGGCGTGTTCTGGGAGCCTCTGGGGGCTTCCTCGGGCCACCCTACCTCCAACCGTAGTCTCCCTGAACGACCGGGTCACGATTTGGAATGCTTCGGAAGGCGTCTTGGGACCATTTGCGTCGTCATGGTGCTCTCTTATGCCATCTTGGAACCCTGTCGTGCCTTCATAGAGCTCTCCTGGACTGCCTGAAAGCCCTTTCGGATGGTTTTGGGGCGATTTTCGAGCCACCCAGGCGGTCTCGGACGCCCAGAAGACCGAAGAACAGGGCATTCCCCAAATCATGCAAGAACCTTGGCAAATCAATGTTTTTCTGCGTTTTGGAAGCCTTTGGGGGGTCTTCTTTGGGTTGTCTTCGGGCGTCTGGTGGGTGTTTGGGGCCTCTTGGGGCCCTCGGAGGGGCGTTCGGCCGCCCTCCTGACCGATTCGGGCCCGTTGCCGAAGCCCAACAAGGGCTTCCAGACGCTGGGCTTCCTGCAAGGGCGTCCAAGAGGTCCCTGGGGCCGCAGATCCAGGGGGGTCCAGAGGGTCCCGGGTAATAGAAATATATAGTTGGGAATATGGAGACCATATCAAAGCGTGTTCAGGGCCGGCCGATATCCCTTCAAATGCCTGTTTTCGACGTCAATGAACTTGCTGGCCGTGCCAAGAATTACAATGGTTGCAACCGACATGCCGCGACAATTGCCAAGGTAAAAAAATGCACAAAGGCGAAGCGTGCAGAACATAAACAAATGTGCCATGACGCGTCGTCCATCACGTTCACATCGTGAGTGCGCATGTGGCACTCATGTCATACCACTCTACTTCGGTGCCACTGCCACTGGCAGTGGACAGCGCTTGTTGTGATCAAAGTGAATAAGAAAAGGTCGACCGAATCCTCATACATCCAAGCGCCTTGCTGGCAAACATTACGTCTCCACGCTGATACTGGATCAAAGAATTGTTCCATGCTCCGTGCCGCCATACAGGAAACCATACGCTTGACAGTATCCGCCCTGCTACTCCTTTTTCCTGACTGGTCCTCCATCTGCTGCTACTGATCGTATTTCTGTTGTTGCTCCCCCACCGACCTGTCGGGAAAAAACTAATGAGAATGGAGACGCGTCCTCATTGTTGCAGCACTGCGCCTGCTTCTCCTCTGTCCAGGTCTCATGGCAGGTAGACGCCCCCACCACACACTCCTGACAAGGCGACGTACTTTCAAGGCGACGCGCCGAGGAGCAATGCATGCACGGGTCGAGGCTAAGGCAACACCACAAACGTGGACATCTGAAGGTTGACCGGGAAAAATGCTAGCCTGTTTCGTTTCCTTGGGTATCAAGCGCACTGAACAGCTTACATCCTACTAGTGGCCACGCCAACTACAACCTGTGGACTGGTGTGAAGAGTCGTGCGCGAAACCAGCTGTCTGGCCGAATTAGTTTACGTCAACATGCAAGACACGCCTGTGCCTCGCGCGGTGAGGTGAGCGAACGGAGGCCAGGAAGACTGGGTGATCGATCCGTCCTCGGCTATGTCCACCAACCGACTAAACAAACACTGATTGAGATCTTCGGAAATCGTTCTCTGCCGAAGGAAACGATGTGCCAACCTCCTGAAGGAAGCTAGATGCTACACCCTCGCTCGTGGCTCTATACAAATGCCGAATCGAGTCTCCAGTGGTGGGCAGGGACCATCGCGCCATCGAGCGCCAAAGACTGCTAGCAGCAATACACCCCCACTTCGACTTCGAATCCCAGAAGGTCCGAATTGGGTTTTGGCAAGAGTCATGGCAGACTCGCCATGCCGATTTTGAACCGAATGGGTGTTCACTTTTGTTTTGGATGATGCATTGGGCGGAATCGCGATTTCAACTTCGAACCGGCAATTTCGAATCAACCCGAATCGTCGTTTCGACTCGGGCAACACGTTTCGCATTTAGAATCTTGAATTCGAAAGCCCGTAAAATAGAACATGTGGTTGTCGCGTTGGACCTCAACGAAAACGACTTCGACTTGATGTCGAAACCCGTCCGCCCGAAGTCGAAACGGCGATTCCGTCGAATACTTCTTCGAAGAAGCGTGTTCGACCGACGTCGTCAAAATTCCTGTGGAAATGCCCGCGCTGCACGAAGAAACGAGACACACCCTGGCAACGCTGTGCTGGGGCCCCGTCGCCGAATGTGCCCCTTCGGAATGTCCCCCGTCGACAACACGTGTGCTGGGGCCCCCGCCGTCGAGCGGGAAGAACTAACATTTGGCCGAGATGTCGCAGCGGCGAAGTATAATCCGCTGATCTCCGCTTGACAGGCGGGGCAAAGCGTGTGAGATGCTTAGCTGTCCCCCTCCCTGCGGTTGAGAAAAAACACTAAGCAACCTTCCCCCCTCCCCCCGCAATTCAAAGTTGGCAGGTATACGCATCACTGGTCCGTCACTCAAACTCGGAAGATCCGAGCGCAACATTGCATTCGGGGGGAGGGGGGGGAGTTCACACCAAATGTTATTTGTGAATGTTGCTTAATTGTTTCCGACACCTGTGTTTCTGTGTTCTCCCTCACTGGGACTCCAAAGTCCTGTTTGGGGGCCAGGGGTGGGCAGAGCGTAGGGGTGGGCTGGGGGTACAAGCTCGTCAGCGCACCTCCTGCTCCCGAAGAGGCCCCAAACATTGCACGCAAGACCGTGGAGCATAGAGGCCTCCCCCAAACAGCCCCAAATTGACCCATTGCGACACAATACGTAATACCGCCCAGGATGGCCTCCAAGACTGCCTAATATGACCTCTGCGATGGCCCCGATTGGCGCCAGGATGGCTCCACGATGGCCGCAGAACCTACCACCCTCCCAAAAGAAGGGTCTAACAATCCAAGATATCGCAACACATCCGCTTTTCCGGGGGTTGGCTGAAAGGCGCAAGCCTGTAGGATCCGCTCGCCCAGGGCGTGTGAAACCTTACATCGAGAACTTGAAGACCGTTTTCGTTTTTCCCTAAATGGGATCGTCTTCGAAACAACTACTGCTTCTTAATGTTGGAGCCTGGCTGGTGGGTACGGCTGGACTCTTGGTGCTTCCTGACTGCCACTCCTGGACCGGAGCTTGATCATCCGGGGATGGCCCGGCAAAGGGACGCGGCCGCAAGAAACCCTCGCAAGAAACCCAGCCCAAATCCGCAAAGTTTCTTCCCGAAGGTCTGATAGGGTATGGATTTCTTGGCCAGGAGCTCCAAGCGGAGAAACCCAGGGCACCCTGACCCGCTCAATTTCTTCCCAAGCAGCGCTAAAAAATCTGGGAACAAACCGGCAGCGTTCGCGCCGAACGAACAACCTTTGGGAGCCCTAGGGAAACCCGAGATTCGGTTGAGGGAAACAAAAAAGCAACACTCCACCCTCCCCCGCTATTCGAAAATTGGTACGTTTACGCACCACCCTAAACTCGGAAGATCCGAAACCAACATTGCATTCGGAGAGAGGGGGGCGAGTTCAAACCATATGTTACGCGCGAATGTTGCTTAACTGTTTCCAACACATGAAGCGTCGCTGTTGGCACTCGATTGTAAGGGCAGTCGCTGCAATCAATCAAATGCGCCCTCGCGGGGCGCGGGCCTATTCCTGACCAGGGGTGCGTCGCCAAAGAATCCCGAAATGCCGTGACTGCACATGAATGTATGCAAGGTTCGGCCGAAACGCTGTTTGAAACGATAATGCGTTCAAAACGAGCATGAGAACGGAACGTGGCGTGTCAAACGAGCGCTTAGAACGAAACTGGTGCTACATGCAGACGGACAACAGAACAAGGCCGCCGTTCAAAACATAGCGAACAACGAGCCGTGCAGATAAAACTCGAAACCGAATGAGCAAAAACAAAACGAGCACCGAAAATCGACGGCTGGGGCTAAGGCTGAATTTCCAAGGCCAGCGTGGCGACTTTCATATTCTGACGCCACTGCCAAAGCAAGAACAAGGCGCATACGCGCGTCTTCTCGCTTGCGCGTGCGCGCTGATGATGGAGCAATGTGATTGGCATGGAAAGGCTGAATCTCTGAGGCCAACATGGAGCCCCTCCTATTCGGACAGACCGTGGAACAAAGCCAAGGCACAAGGCAGGTACGCGCGCGTGCGCGCCTTGTTAGTGGCACATATTTGGTTTGCGAGAGCCGCATGCTAACATCCAACCCCACGTGGCGCGTGCTAGGCGTCACTAGAATTTCCGCTGCCAGAACGGTGATTTTCCCTTTCTGCCATAAAACAAAGCCTACCAGGCCAAGGTGAAAAGCAAGGGCACAAACCGCGTACGCGTCCTGTCAATGTATCAAAGACTGGTCCGCGAAAGCCGCGGGTAGAATCTCAAAATCCAAGTGGCGCGCGCTAGGGGGCAACTTGAGCTTCCTAAGCCAACATAGCGACCTTGCTTCTCTAACAGCGCGGAACCTGTCAGGCCAAATCAGCGGGCGTTCGCGCGGGCTTACGCGTGAGTGCTCGCCCTCTGGACGGAGCAATCTGACTTGGTAGTGCGAAGATTACATGCTTAATATAATATTAATGGATCAGCGTGGTCCCCCCACACACAATAATTTCTTGCAGTTTATGCGGTGCAATCTAGGTGGTGCGAAGTATGCGGCGCAAAATAAAACAAAAACAATGCAATTTCATGCAACGGAATGCAATGCAACACAATGCGAAATAATGCAACACAATACAATGGAATGCAAACCACGGGACTGCAAAACAATGTAACGCAAATTCATGCAAAGCGATGCAGAGCAATACAAAACAATGCAAACGAATGCAAAGCAATACTATGCAACGCAAAGCAACGCAATGCACACTAATGTAAAACAGTGCAATGCGATGAAAAGCAATGCAAAGCAAAGCAATTCAATGCAAACCAATACAAAGCTGCAAAGCAATGCAATGCGATTGCAATGCAATGCAATACGATTGCAACGCAATGCGATTGCAATTCATCTCGGGGGGGGCAACGAGGCGGCGTCGACGGATGGGAACGGGGCCGCAAACGGGCCCAGTCCCCTAGAAGAAAAGTAAGATCACCTAAGTGCAAATACCGCTTGGGGAAAAGCCAAGGTGTGCGCGTTAGAGGTCCACTCGAGTTTCCCAAGCCAACATTCCGGAACCTGCCAGGCCAGGACAACGCGCGCCTATGCACCCTGTCAATTACGCAATAGGAGCGTTGTGCGAACGCCGATGTACAAAAAACAAAGTGGTGCGCTGAGGGGCCACTTGGCGACTTTCTCATTCTCACAATGCAGAACCTACCAGGCCAGGGCACAGCGCGCGTGCGCAGCTGCGCGCGCCGCGTTAATGGAGCAACTTGGCGTGTATGCGAAAATCAAGTTTCCAAGTAACAATTATATAGTACGCGCTAGTGAACCTCGTCTGCTTCCCAGGCAAAAACCGTGACTTTCCTATTCTGACAAACAAAAACCTGCCAGGCCAGGGCGCAATGCGCGTACTCGCCTTGTGAAAAGCGCATGTTCAATTCAATTTCAAACAAGCGCGCAACCGGGTATCTGGAGTTTCCCAAGCCAGCGTGGCGCCTGTCCCATTCTGGTAACACAGAACCTACCACGCCAGGGTACAGGGCGGGTGCGCGAGCCTTCCTTCAGTGGAGCAATATGAATGGTACGCGAACGCAGCATCTCATAATCTAAATCCAGTGTGCGCGCGCTGGAAAAGGCCAATTTTCGCAAACCAACATGAAGACACTCCTTCTCTGAATTCCCAGAGCCTGCCAGGGCAGGGCAATGGGCGCGTTCGCGCGCACGCGAGCCCAGCTCATGGAGCGATCTGATCGGTATGCGAAGCCCGTATGCTAAAGTCTGTGACCCGATACTGCGCGCTGGTGGGGGCACTTTCAGTTTCCCAGGCCAGCGTGGCAGCTTGCCTATTCCGACAGTGCAGAGGCGAGCCTACCAGGCCAGGGCACAGGGCACGCACGCATACTACTTTACATACCAGTCACACGAGAGACAATCCAAGTTCATGCTTTCGGAAGAGCAAGCGGAAAGTAAGCATCATAATGAAACGAAGCGTGATAAAAAAGTATGCTGGCCCCAAAACTAGCCGTTTACAGGTGTGAGTCTCGCAAGGTATGTGGAACAAATTATAAGTAAAAGGACTGAGAAGCGCACGAGAAACTGACTAGCACGCGAAATTCCCCCACACGCATCTGTAGTTCGGGATTTTTCCCAAGGGAAGTTCAGCAATAGATCCACGCACTCCATTTCTACAAATCGCTGCAATGAAACCTCGTTTGAGAGCCCACCACGGCTCCAAGACGGAACCGACAATTATACTGAATTTCAGGTCGTTCCCAACTCGCTTCTGAAAGACCTTGTCTCATCGTGCTAGTCACTCTTGGGCAACTTCTTTCGCCTCCCAAACCGGCTCTTCGGCTTCCACGAATACATCTTCCGTCCCTCTTGATTAATAGTATCGGAGATGGCAGACTCATGCACAAGCCTGCCATGTTCGATAGCCTTAGCTTTGTCTGAAGGTCACCTGGGCGCCTCTTGCAGCCGCTTTCCAGACTCGCTTGCGCCAACTTCATCCATGCAAAATTTCAATGCTGCTTTCGATACGTTCTGGAACCCAATTTTGACGATTCCGTAACCCAACTTGGGCCACAAGACGAGCCCCAAAACGGCCCCAATCCGGGCCTGGGTTGGATGACGCGTGGACGGCGTTCGGGAGCCAAACGAGGATGCTCGTACTAGGGCCGTCTTGGCTCCACCGTGGGCCACCTTGGGCTCTTCCTGGCCTCTTTCTGGGTCCACTAGGTGGCTTAATGAACAGTCTTCGGGCTGTCGGGGCAATTCGGAACAATCTGGGGGTTCTTTCGGCATGTCTTCAACCCGTCTTGGGGCCGTCTTAGGCTCTTCTGGCGAGAACTCGGGGCGCGCAGTGGACGCGAAGCGTCGTCCGGAATAATCAAGACAATTTTGAATCGTTTAATCAAGCGTGGTACCATGAAGACTGCTCTGGTAAACGATGCCGACTTCGTGCCTTCAGCTGTGCTTGCACTCAGAATGAAAGGGCTCGCCAAATCTGCCGTCGGTGTCGCTGTAGTCGAGGATGCTGCCTCTGGTTCCTCCGTTGACGAGGATTCTGCAGTCGGAGTCGGAGTCGATGCCGAAGTTGGATCCGACGCCGTCGAATTCGAAGTCGCCCCCGTGATTTCCTTCCCTACAATCTCGCCCCTCGCTACGAACGGCCCTGCAATGCCCTGCGATGGTTTCGGTCTTTATGAGTTTCGTCCTCCAGAAAACGATCAAAATCAAACTTGGGATAACTGGCACGGCACGCCCGCTTCATCGCACAACCAAAATCAACGTACCAGGGGACAGTCAACGGCCGGCCTGCGATAGGGCAAACCTGCTAGCACCCTGTGGGCAGGATAAGGCCAACGTCCGCCCGATTCATAACAAAAGGCACACGTGAGTGAGATGCGAATGCCTTGCACCGTGGGGGCGAAATACCTCTGAAGCACACCCGCCTAGAACACGAGATACCTGGCAAGACTTCTCCTCCTTGATGCAACTTCCCCCGCTCCTGACTGCCAGCGACACGAGGTAGCAAGCACAAATGCAATTCCAGGAAGGCTGCCGTATTGATGCCCCTCGACTGGTCGCACCGCCAATCACGAGCAACATATATACATATATACATATATACATGTGTATATATATACATCTGTTAACCAACGTATTTTCCGAATATTGTGTCTTTAGAATTCTAAATTGCGCAATACATGTGCACTATATACGTGGTGCAATCTACGTGGTGTAATGTATGTGGTACGACATATGTGTTGTGCATTGTGTGCATGTGCGGAGATTTCTATGTTGTGCAATTGATTTTTACCCATGATTTGACACATCCTACGCTCTTGCAAACATCCCACCCACGCACCCACCCGCAACTTGGTTTGCGAAACCTCTTAAGACTGACTACGACGACACCGACGACAACGACTGCGACGACACCGACGACGTCTCCGACGACTTCGACGACGACGACAACGACGCCGACGACGACAACGAAGAGGGAGGAGGGAGGACGGCGACGACGCGAACGACGAAGAAGGAGGAAGGACGGCGACGCCGACGACGACAACGACGAGGGAGGAGGGAAGACGACGACGACAACGACGACGACGACGGCGACGAAATAGGAGGGACGACGACGAGACGCCAACGACGGACGACGACGACGACGAGGGAGGAGGAGGAAGGATGACCACGGCGACGACGACGACGGAAACGACCACGACGTCAAAGAGGACGACGACGACGAACACGAGGAAAGACAGAGGACGACGTAGGCGACGACGACGACGACGCGGGAGGAGGGAGGACGGCGAGGACGATGACGACGTCGACGCAAGAGCGCGCGCGCACGCTTTTGTTGAAAATCCGTGTTGCGAAACCTTGTGCTTTTTGTAGGTTTTTTGGACACACGATTGCGAAATCCTTCCGGCACCGAGAGTTTTTGAAGGTTTTCTGCGACATGCGCGCGCGCGAAGCCCGTTTGATAGAATTTTGTGAAAATCTTGAAACACCTATGGTTTCTTAATATTTCGCAGAGCTCGCGCGGAAGCCTTTTTAGCAAACCAATGTTGCGAAACCCTGTGTTTTTGTATGTTTTTTTGGAAACTCGATTGCGAAATCCTTCCGGCACCGAGAGTTTTTGAAGGATTTCGGCATGCGCGCGCGACGACGTGCGCGTGTGCATTTCGTCCAATTGTTTGCAGGGGATTCGTGAAAAAGTCTCATGTTAGAACAAAATCTGTCTCCGCGTATCGTTTTTTTTACAAGGGAACTTCAGGGGGGCCGATCCCGGCCACTCCGGGATAGTGTAAACTCATATCTAGGATGGACATGTGGTCATAATCGTACATGACTTACATACCCGAAAAGGGGGATAACGCCGGGGGGGAGGGAGTCTATGTTTGTTTATGTTTTTTTTTTATTTTAGAAAGAAGAATATACGTTGTACAATCGATGTTGTGCAAAATACGTTGTGCATCTATGTTGTGCAACTATGTGGTGCAGTCTATGTTGTGCAGCAACTGTCATGCAATGCGTGCTTTGGGTGATCACACAGTGCACCGCAATGGTCCAAAATATGTGGTGCAATTGACTACTGTGCACCGCGCTTGATTACCTCCACTGCTCGTGCAATCGTCCCACCCAGCGGCGATTGCGATGAGTGCTTGACGTTGGCTGGTCCATCTCTGCGGCCGCGCCAACCCAAGCACGCGCGCGCAGCGGCCAGCTGTTTTTGCGCACCGCGATTCGGCGACTGGTGTGGGCGCGGTATCATGGCAACGTCGGCAACGGTTGACGATGATGATAGTAGCGATGCTGGTGACGATGTCGACAACGACGACGGCACGGCCAGCGGGCGCCGATGCTGATCACGCCGACGACGATGACGGCGTCCCCGCGTCGGTGATGTAGGTTTTGGAAGGAGTTCGACATGTGCGCGCGGCCGACGCGCGAGAGTGGCCCGCATGATTTTCTTTGACATGGATCGTGCCCCCCCAGCGCGCGCGCAAAGGCGTGCGAATGATGTCGGCATGCGGCGCGGGAGGCCCTTTTGGCAGAATTCCATGAAACTGATAAACAACCTATGGTTTTCTCAAGAATTCGGAAAAACGCGAGCGCACGTTCTTTCCCCAAACTGATGTTGCGGAACCATATGCTGTTGTATGCTCTGTTGGACAGTCGGTTTTGACATCGCTACAAAACCAAAGAGGTTGTTGACGGATTTCACCATGCGCGCGCGACGGCGCGCGCGTGCACTTCGTCTCATTTGTTGCAAAGGATTCTCGCAATGGCCCGCGCGCAAGGGCGTTCGAACGATTTCGACACGCGCGCGTGAAGCCCGTTTGGTAACATTTTCTGACCGTCAAGAGAAATCTGTGGTGTCTTTAAGAATTCGCAAGAGCGCGCGCACAAGTGTTTTTGTTGTTTGTTGACACTCAATGTTGCGAAACCCTGTGTTTTTGTATGTGTTTTGGGACTCGATTTTGAAATTCTTACGAACCCGAGGTTTTTGAAGGATTTCGGCATGCGCGCGCGACGACGCGCGCGTGCGCACTTCGTCCAAAATTTTGAACGGGATCCTTGAAAACTTGTGAGTTATGGTAAACAAGTGTGCGCGCATATTATTTGTTGCAGACGATGGCGGGGGGGGGGGGCGATACCGGTCGGGCTGGGAGGGTATGAGTTCATATTTAGGATGGACGATGGGGCATAATCGCAACTACATTGCAATACGGGAAGCGGAACCGATAATCCCGGGGGGGAGGGGGGGGGAGAGTCTAGTCTCTTTTTAGAAAGGGGAGTTAACTTCTGTTCGCAATGAATTGCCCACTCCATTGCTCGCGCAATCATCCCACCCACCCACCCACCCGCACTGTGGTTTGCAAAACCCATGCAGCGGCGATTGCGATGAGTGCTAGGAGCTGGCTGGTGCATCTCTGCGTCCGCGCTAGAACGTGCATGCCAGCGCGCGCAGCGGCCAGCTAGTTTTACGCGGCCGACGCGACCGCGGTGGCGCTGACGGTTGGACACCTCCCAACGGGCACTTCAGCGCGAGTCGGTGACTTGGGCGGGCGCGGTATCATGGCAACGTGCAACGTCGACAACGGCAGACGCGATGATGATGGTAGCGGTTCTGGTGACGATGATGACAACGAGGGACCCCCAAACCAAGGAGCCCCAAGAGGGCCCCTTAATCCCAAACTGAGCCCCAAGAGTGCCCCAAGAGGCCCCACAGGGATCCTAAGAGAGCCCTTCAGGTGGCCCTCGTCGTCCATCAAACACAAGCCCGACTTCTCATCCTCCAAAGCCCGACTTCTCATCCTCCTTGTCATCGTCCATTCCTTCCCTCCTCCTTTCGTGCCTCCTCGCTTCTCCTCCTCCTACTCCTCTTCCTTCTCATGCTCCTCGTGCCGCATTCTTCCTCCTCTTCCTGCCCCTCCTTGTGCTCCTCTTCTTCCACCTCCTCCTCCTTCTACCTTTTTCCTTCTCCTCTTCCTCCTACTCCTCCTTTTCCTACCCCCAAGAAGGCCCCAGGAGGTCGAGCATGGTTTAAGATAGCCTCCGACAAACCTCCAAGAGGCCTCAAGACAGCCACAAGACGGTCCAAGATAGCTGAGCATGGCTCAGGATAGCCTCCTGCAGCCTCTAGCCAAATATGGCTTAAGATAGCTAGCCTCCAAGAGGCCTCAATAAAGCCTCCAATCGTGTCTGCATGGGCTGGTGGGGATACTCGAAGCGCAAAGAATTTGTCATGTTCGCATGATTCAAAAACATCCCCGATAATTTTGAATATTTGTTTTGCTTCCCCATTTCGCCAGGTCACATTTGTCCTGCTGTTCATAGTCGTGCCCTATAGGCCTACCAAAAAGATAATAGTCGGCTCAACAACTTTCAAAACAGACTCCTCTGGCAAAGCACTGGGCCGTTGCTGCGTATTCTCACCTTTCATCGCAATCTCTCATTGGGGGCCGGACCAAGAAACCAACAGCAATGAGACGTCCTAGGTTTTGCCGGGGGCGCGCAAACATGGATTTACACACAACACAACACACACAGCACACACACACACACACAACACGCACAAACAGCACACACACAAGCACACGCACGCACACGCCTACCGGCCCAGAAGCCGTCCCTGCGCGGGAGGCGCGGCGAAGCCTGGGCTCTGGTCCCTCAGATGTACGTCAGCACGGCGTCGATCCACCTCTTCTTAGGTCTCTGTGCTCGTCGCGTTAGCCCAAGAGGTCCCCAAATCCATGGTTCGGGGGAGGTGCCCTCCCCCAAAATGCGGCCGCTGCCGCCTCGTTCGGCGGCAGAACCTGCTCCACCGCAAGATGGTCTTCGAGGTCACCAGCGGGGCCGAAAGGCGCACCCGAGAGGCCCAAAGGCGCTGCCCAAGAAGCCTCACGAGGCTCCCAAGAGACCTCCCCCCCTTCCTCCTCCTCCTCCTCCTCCGCCTCCTCCTCCCTCCTCCTCTGCCTCCTCCTCTCCTTCCGCAACGGGCCTCCGAGAGTCCTCTCGTCAACGACACAGGCAAGGTGGCGGGATGCCGAAGGCCACTGGGTGCAGACATCACCATGGAAAACCCAACCAGTCTTTCTTGGTGCAGCGTGGATGCTTATGGGAGTGGCGGTAGCGCCCAAGATCCAGGACTTGAGGCCCCAGCCAATCCGCTTCTCTTTCTCTTTCTCCCTCTCTTTCTCTCTGTCCCTGTCTAGGTATGTCGCTATCCATACCTCGGCGTGTGTCTCTTTATGCGTTTGGTGGCCCTCGTCTCTCTCTCTCTCTCTGATATGTATGTATATGTATATATATATATATGGATATGTATATGGATATATATATATATATATATATATATATATAAAAAGTATATCGCCGAATTAAAGCACACATACGTGTTTACTACAGTGCGTATGTGTACGTATCAACACATTTTCCTTGCACGCATCTAATTATGTACCTAATTCTGTGTGCCTCCCTCTGTGTCAACACATATTTATACGCGTGATTATGGAAAATATGTGCGCGGGCTTGTCATGAATGCAACTCTATGTAAACATATATGCACAATCGCTTGTCCCTCGGCATCTGACAACATCGATGTTTGCTATCTTTCCCCAATGCTTGCACTGAAGGGGTCCTAGAGAAAATTGAAAAATTTGGCGAAAATGTCCCGCCGATTTTGGTGGCCGGCTGGGTTCCTGGGTTCCCGGTTCCGGGTTCCCAGTTTCCTGGATATTGGTTCCGGGCCGATTTCGGTGGGTTCCGGGTTCCTGGGTTCCTGGTCGATCTCCTTATCGATCAAACCATCCACTGATTGGGGTTTGTCTCAGGTGCAATATGCACACCTGTAATCTAGAACTCGGGCCCCCTTAATTTCGTTCCTTCGTTTCGTTGCTCCCCGCTCCCCCTGGCCCTGGACGCCTGGGCCCGCTCCTTTTCGCCCTGCCCCCTCCCTGGAGCCGGGGCCTCCGTATGTCCTGGCCCTTCCCCCTCGCCCTCACCCCTGCAGTAGGCCCTGTCCATCCCCTGCTGCCCCGAATCATCTTATGTTCGCTCGTTAATTTCGTTCGTACTCCCCCCTTTCTTGAACCGGCTGTGACCTTGGCCCAGGCCCCCCTTCGCCCTGGCTGCCTGGCCTTTGCCCTGGCCTCTGCAGAGCCCTCGCCCTCCAGAGGCTCCCATGCCTTGTGCCACCGAGGGCCCTGGGTGTGCTATGGCTGCTCTGCAGGATGCCATGGAAACGAACTCTGTGATACTCACAAGACATGCAATCATACTAACTTTCCGAGCGGCTGGGGGCCGGCTTGGCACCACGTGCCATCTACCCGTTATGCATCTCGATAACACCTCCCTCTTCTTTCTGTGATCCTATCTCATTCTCATCATCATCATCATCATCATCATCATCATCATCATCATCATCCCAGACGCGGCACACCCCACGGCTGCCGCACAAAACAGCCACCGCAACTGCGACCAAACCTCCAGAGACAATTGAAAGCAAGTCATAAACACTGCTAAAAACAAGCGCTAAGAAATCTATAAGGGCGATACAGCCTTGGCGACAGAAGGCCCTGAACAACTTCCCCACATGAAAATGGCAACGACAGACATACACTGCTATTAGCACGGCCCTAATACTTTATGAGAGCTGCTCTCCCCTATGAGCTGGACCGCACTTGGTCTGGCCGGGGCATTTTCCTCTGTGCCATCATGTTTTATGGACCCTATGTCCATACTACCTGTGAATTAATCAAATAGGTGATTCGGCGAATCCGGCCTGGCCACTTCCCATCGCGCATATATAATGCGGTGGACATATCTTGATGCGCTCTGAAGATTCATCTGGCATAGCACCATGCGGGCCACATGCGCTCGCCCCCGCTAGCGCGAATCAACTCTTCTAGACACAACTTGTAGTTGCCAATGCACCGTCGGATGTTGAAGTATATGCCTTGCACCTGGTTTTCAGGCACATTCATTGTAAAGCATAATGGCGCAATTTCTGCGCGCTACTTCTCTCATCTACATCATTGTTATCAATGATCCAAATGCGTGCGTGAGTTCGTCAGTACGCACAGCCTTCGGGCGGGATTTTGGCGAATAAGAAGACGATATTCTCAACACCGTCCCCTCCTTTACTCCTGTCACTGCCGCTGGTATTGAAGAATTCTACGATACGAATGGCTACGAAGAAGTACGGTTTCTTGTGCGCATGAAAGCATCAGCTTTCACTGGCTCCTGATTGTATTTGGCCAACAAGGTGGGATCCTCAACGTGTCCTCATCGCTTATGGTTTCACTTCGTATGGCGTGGAGGAGGAGCTTTATGATACACATTGCTGCATGGCATGGAGGACTTAGGATCATGATTGAATTTGCATCATAATCGTACACGACGGGTTGAGACATAACATACCCGTATGATTGGGTAGGGTGGGTGAATGTGACCGTGCTCCACCACATCATTGACTATAGCAGATCACTCTTATACTCAATCAGTCATGAAGTACACTGGGAAAGTGTACAAGAGTGTACTCATGTTACATTAGTTTACTGTGCACTGCAAAGCCACAAGGCAAGCCATCCGAAGACCCATGCAAGAGACCCGAGACCACGGGCACCGGCCAGAGACTACTGCCAGAAACCACGGGCCAAGTTCACAGACCATAAGCCACCAAAGACCACGGGCCACGAATCTTTGATCTCGCCGAGCATCCACCGGCCTTAGAAGCGACGGATCGGACCCTCACAGACAAGCTGTTCAGGGAAACGCGATCCACATTCGCGGTGAAACTAACTGGCCTACACATTCAACGCCTATCTGAAAATGCTTGCGCATTCACGAGACCGTCCTTCATAAAATAAAGGTTCATGCCGACTTCCTGCTTCATCTGGCAGCCATCCTTCATGAGACGGCAGAAATTTGGACTTCCTGCAAGGCAGATGTGTCAAGCGGCGGATCAACACATAGAAGAGCCAAGATTGTAACGCGGCGAATGCTGAGACGTATGATGGAAGCGCGATGGCCTGAATCAGTGTGACGATGGTGCATGGCTGCACCAGAGCGAAATCCTCTTTGTAATCTTAGGTTTTTCGACAATGGATCGTCTTCCACGCAAGCTGCTTGTCATGAATCCCACCAGCCCTCTGGGCGTAGGTGGTCTAGGGCGGCTCCTCTTCCAACCCCCTCCTTCCCCTTCGGGAAGGGTTTTACCCCTCCCCCTGCCCCCTCCCCTGGACGTGGACGGGACCCGTCGCGGGAAGCTAGAGCGCCCAAAACGGCCTTGGCGAGGACTTGATCGATGACCTCCACTATGGCCCCAAGAAGCGCCCAGGAGGCCCAACGAGGTCCCAAGATGGCCCCACGATGGCCCCAGGAGACCCCCAAAATGGCCCCTAGGAGGTTCCCAAGAGGGCCCCAAGCGACCCCAAGAGACCCCCCCCGATGCACCCAAGACGCCCAAGAGCCCCCCAGGACCGCCAGGAGACCACCAAAACGTCCCAAGAGGCCGCTGAGAAGCGCCCAAAAGATACCCCAAGAGGCTCCGAGAGGCATTCAAAAGACCCCTGGCCTTTTTGCTTGCCCTCCTCCTCCTGCTCTTCCTTCCTCCTCCTACTCCTTCTCCTCCTTCTCTCCCTCCCCCCATGCATCCTCCTTCTCCCCACTCCCTCATCCATCCATCCATCCAGCCTCCTCCTTCTCCTCCTCCCTCCTTCGCACGGTTCGGCAATCCCCCTCTTTGCTCCCGCATTTCTGATCACCTCAACTCGCCTGGACGTCGTTTCTGGGTGGGCTGGTGGGGCTATTTTTTTGGTCGCGAGCGCAAGCGGTACAGCCGCGCGCCGTCAGATCGAAGCAACAACGAGTGGTGGTGGGGATAGTTTTTCCGTCGCAACCGCAGGCGAAGAAGCGCAGCGGCGTCACAAGACAGCTCGGGCTACGAGCAAACCTAATTAACCTAGCGCGCGCACTGGCGGCTGCAGAACTACCGCCGAGGGACGCTGAGCTGCGCCGAGGGCTGAGGCTGCAGGAGCTGCCAGGAGAGCCAGGCAAGCGTGCGGGCATCCCAGAGGCGAGGCCACCAAAAAGGACGGTGGTGGAAATACTTTTTTGTTCGAGCGCAAGCGAAGAGCCACGCGCCGTCAAGGAAGACGGTTGGGGATACTTTTTGTTCGCGAGCGCAAGCGGAAGAGCCGCGCGCCGTCAAGAAAAACGGTGGGGATACTTTTTTGGTCGGCGGCTCCCGGGCGAAGGTCAAGGAGCGGGTCAACAACGAACGGGGCGCGAACGATGCTACTTGGCCGCAGTGGCATATGCACATGCGAGGGACAAAATGACCCAAATTAAACGCCAAAGGCCGGCGTAGACGTCCCGGCGGTGGGGACACCACGGCGCGGCGACCGGCGGCGAGTCGGCGACGAGGACGCCCTTTAGGCGACAAGCACCAGCAGCTCAACGCGACCATACGATCAAGCCGAGCATCTCGACGGGTGGGGACGAGCGCGGCGACCGGCACAGGGACGGAACTGGAACGGCGGGGAAGTCGCCCTGGCGGCGAAGCGGTGGGGATACGCCAAGCGTCTAGAATTATCTAGTGAACCCACGCCATTCTAACCCCCAGCGGGCAGGACATGAGGTCCCCTATTTCTGGAGAGTTCGGATAATTCGCCGACTCCAGCGTTTCTGGGCTAAGCCGCGCCACCCTGGCAAACCCCTTTGTGGGTGGGAGCGTGGAGGTGGTGGTGGGGACGGGGCGGGAGAGGGGGTTGGCGGGAAGGGGGGAGAAAGGAGCGGAAGTATGAAGCAGTATATCGGACCACACTTCGGGTGATGAAGAGGTCATGGCGAGTAGGCACAGCTTCAATTTGGCGATGGCCTCGCATCGTAGTGCCAATCGATCTAACTGCCTGCTTATATGTCATATGTATCCAACTGTAGATCGATCTAACACTTGATGCGTCGAGCTACGACCGATCTACGTCACTTCTGTGCAGTCATGGGCACCACCCGCGCACGCACATATGCGCACACCCCCACATTTACATACACACATACCTAACATACATACATACATACATACATGCATACATACATACATACATACACACATGCATGCATTCATACAGCCATACATACATACACGCATACCTCCATACACACATACAGACATAGCTACATACATAAATACACACATACATGCATATATGTATACATACATACATACATACATGCATGCATTCATGCATACATACATACACACGAACATACTCACATACATATACACACACATACATACACATACACATACACATACACATACACATACACATACACATACGCGTACACATACACATACACATACACATACACATACACATACACATACACATACACATACACATACACATACACATACACATACATACATTCACACGCATACATACATACATTCACACACACATACATTCACACACATACATACAAGCATACATACATACATACATGCATGCACGCATGCATACATACATACCGTTCATACTTACGCACACACATACATACCATACATAACATAACACAACATAACATACCATAACATCACACACAAACATACACATATACATTCAGACACACATACATACATACAACGATATATCTATATACGTATACACACTGTGAGTGCGGCATTGTCCGAATGCTCCCGGATGCACAACCAAAGCGACCTCACGATGAATCACTGTTTACGCTTTGCCAATTTATGACAGGCCGATGCCAACAATGACCGAGAAGCGGTCCCACTATGCCTTATACCGACACTGCTTGACACAGAGTACGCTCTATGATGGTTAGTACCTTGTCACGATGCAACAATGAGAGACAAACGGGATTCACTCGCCCATCACACTGATTGCAACATGATGTTTCTATCAAATGACGGCACACACTGCTGCAACTGGCCGACGCAATTACCTTCGACATTGTATGAGCCGTGATTGCATGTGATTTCAAATAGACAGCGGAACTAAGTGTCTCAATAGCTCCAGTAGCCGTTTCATGTGGTATGTGTCCTTCATGGGACATCTGGAGACGAGAGACGAATTGAGCCTGGTAGCAAGGATGTACATGAACACAAGAATTTGAATACGTACACGGGAGAACAAAGGACCAGCGAGTGTGGGGAGGGGTCGCACGGACGCGTTCGCAAGCACGCCTGTGTACTCTCCAGGCTCATGCGAAAACGTAGTGCAATCCGGGGTTGTTCGGCATCTCTCAAAACATTCGTACCGAGTCCACACCTGTGCTAAGCGGGAACGGATAGGTGTCACACAGATAAGCATAAACTGTGCCTCCATCTCGAGATCTCTCCTGCATAACTGATTCGTGATGGCACTCCAATTCGAGCTATTACTAGTGAATTTGGGGCATGGTCGTGCTTGCAATTGCGCAACGGAGTATAATGAACAACCACAACATGTATGCCAAGCTGGCACTAGTCATGCCATGCACTATCATAAGCACGGAGATTTCCTGGCTAGTTGCACTGTACAAGCCTCTTGTCAGAGACAACGACTGTGCTGAAGAAATTTGGACACGAGGGAGTAAGCAAAGAATGGCCAACCTGATGTCTCGCAAGCAACTCTATGTCATCCGCATTGTCGCATCCGGTCCCGTCCCTGACCGCGGACGTAATGCGAATGGCATCGGGCAACAACGCATGCACAATTCCACCCGCTTCCTCCAACTACCCACCTTCTCGAATCATTCATCCTGGCATGCTCGAACCTTTACCTTCACGACTATGTTGCAGAGTGTCCAGACCATTGAGCGTAGCTCGTGGCTCAACGCGACCCAGGGAGAGCTGGGACGCCGAGTCTGGGCTGCCGCACTGCCGAGGTGTAGGAAATCCGCCGGCCCCCTTGTGGGGCCACCAGGCTGTAGGGCTAAGCTTCGCAGTTTCCTGTACCAGTTGCAGCTTCCAGTTTCCACTGTCACAGTTCTGATTCTTGCTGCTTACTGTTCCTTGTTGACTTCTTGCTGCTTGCTGTTCCTTGTTGATGGACCGCGCGAGGGGGGGAGGCCCAAAACGGGCATTTTTACCACGGCCAAAACGTATGCTCTGAATTGCTGGGGTGGGTAAAAATTGACACCCCTCACGCAGATCGGCGGGGTCGGGGTCCAAAAGCACATGGGATTTGCCACATTTCTGAAATTCGGTGGCACCCCTCACGCAGATCGGCGGGGTCAGGGTCCAAAAACACATGGGATTTGCCACATTTCTGAAATTCGGTGGCACCTCTCACGCAGATCGGCGGGGTCAGGATCCAAAAACACATGGAATGCGCTACATTTCTGAAATTCGGTGGCACCCCTCACGCAGATCGGCGGGGTCAGGGTCCAAAAACACAAAGGATTTGCCAATTTCTGACATTCGGTGGCACCGCTCACGCAGATCGGCGGGGTCAGGGTCCAAAAACACAGAGGATTTGCCACATTTCTGACATTCGGTGGCACCCCTCGGTGGCACCCCTCACGCAGATCGGCGGGGTCAGGGTCCAAAAACAAATGGCATTAGCAACATTTCTGAAATTCGGTGGCACCTCTCACGCAGATCGGCAGGGTCAGGGTCCAAAAATACAAGGGATTTGCCACATTTCTGACATTCGGCGGCACCCCTCATTCAGATCGGCGGGGTCAGGGTTCAAAAACACAAGGGATTTGCCACATTTCTGAAATTCGGCGGCACCCCTCACCCAGATCCGTAGGGTCAGGGTCCAAAAACATAAATGATTTCCTACATTTCTGAAATTCGGTGGCACCCGTGACGCAGATCCTTAGGGTCAGGGTCGAAAAACAAGCCCGGACCTCATGATTTAGCTCTTCCATGGCCCATTCTCCGAGAGATGGGGCCGGCGGCAGGGGGCGAAGCCCTTACGGATATAGAACTTGCCCTTGCCTAAGCGTTCCGAGGGTTTCGATGTTGCCTGAAATGAAACAGTCGACGGATCGGGCAATCTAGCGTTCAATGCCTGCCCAAACATCGACCGATACTGAGCAATTCGTGACTGGAAGCTCTTCGCACCTTCGGCTTCCGAGCAGCAGGACGCAGTCGTAGATAGCCCGAGGGTCGTCGAAACAATACGGTACTATACACAACAAACAACCTGCATAAAGCAAGACGTAAAACAGAGGTTCGTGTATGTAAACACGTGTGCATTACATTTTGTTGGCCAGCAACGCAGGCGAGCGCCAACGCGGTCGAAAGCTGTAGGTGTGGATTACAGGCTGCGCCACACATTAGCCCTGTTACAAAGGAGAACAGCTTGGCAGTGCACAATGCGTCAGCAAAACGCCTGTAAGTTGTATGTGTTCGATCGCGGAAGAAATCCTACATACAAGACCTGAAGCTCGCTGCGCTTTGCTGAAAAGTCTTGGGCTAATGCACGGGGTGTGAGATGGAGTTGAACGCGGTGCGGATCAGTTGCGTTGAAGTGCCAGCGCGCAAAGAGTTGCGACAATTATCGACTGTGGTGTGGGGGAGGCTTGCAGGTCAACCGTGTGCACGCCCGCACACGGTGTATGCTGCGCTGGCGCGACGTGGGAGAAGAGCCTCTCAGGACAATTCGGAACCTTCAGGGAGGCCTTCAGTGAAGTCGGGAAGAACCTTCGCACGCAAGTGATCGGGCAGGTCACGGGGTCAGTGGAGGCCGAACAAAACAAGTCAGCAGATCGACAAACAGCCCAAGAAGACCACGAACGCCTGGAGATGTGGGTGTGAAGATGAGGTGCAAGAGAAGGACGGAGGCAAAGAAAGGGGTAGGTGAGGCAAGAGAACCTGAGAATCGGAGGCGCGGGTAGGGAAGAGTCAGAAAAGTGAAACGGATACAGTCCAAACTGACAGTAGGGATGCGCGATAAGAATGCAAGGGCCTCGGAAGGCCCTGCGGACTCTTTTCGAGTGGGGGCGCGGCCAACGAAAGTGGCCAAGGATGGGCCGAAGGGAAAGGATGCAAAGGAAACCTTGGAAAGACGCTCATCCTCTGTATCAATGTTGACTGTACCACCGGAACGAGCTGAGCCAAGGATGCGTGGCAGCCACAGAGAGAGCGAGGGCGGAACAGTGGATCACGGTAGGCGGCGGCCTGCTCCGTGCTGTGTTGCGCATGCTTCGGGCCCGTTTCGCCCTCCCTTCCCTCGCTTCTCGGGGCCTGCTTCGCGGGCCCCTGCCACTCGTTTGGAGCTCACCTTCCTGCAGGGCCTCCTCTTCCTTCACTCTCTTAGGGAGCTGTCCCACTTCGGCGGCGCGCAGAGGAGGGTAGGGGGAGGGGGGAAAGCTTCTTAGAAGGAGGCTGCTTCTTAGAAGATGCCGGCCTTGCATCTACGCACAAGACCCGCGCCTTCTAATAAGCAAGGGCGCTTCTAAGAAGCCTTCCCCCCTCCCCTTACCCCCTCTGAGCGTGGCCGACCACTGCGAATGGGGGCGGGGTGGGGAAACGCGGGCCTACGCTTGTACCCGGACAGTGTGCGGAAGAGAAGCCCTGCCTCCTCCGCCTCCTTCTCATCCTCCTCCTCCTCTTCCTCCTTCTCGTCCCCGTCTTCTTGCTCCTCCTCCTCGTCCTCCTCTCTCCTCCTCCTCCTCCTCCTCCTCCTCCTCCTCCTCCTCCTCCTCCTCCTCCTCCTCCTCCTCCTCCTCCTCCTCCTATCAGCTCCTATCTCCTCCTCCTACTATCAGCTCCTATCTCCTCCTCCTCCTCCTTCTCCTCCTCCTCCTCCTCGTCCTCCACCCTACTTTCTCACTCCTCGTCCCTCGCCCCCCGTCCCTTCCATTTCACATTCTCATTCACCCCCCGTCGTCGTCTTCATTCTTCTCCTCCTCCTCCTCCTCCTCCGTCTCCTCCGTCTCCTCCTCGTTCTCCAACTCCTTCTCGAGCGGCGCCTCGGCGACTCCATTACAACGGGCGCTCCACCAGGGCGTGCATAGAAGTCCCAGCACAGGCTTTCGTTCTGCATGCAAACGTAGGGGCCTCAAGGAGTCCCCACGAATCTCTGCTCCCCCTGTCAGCCCCCTGCCCTCGCTTACCATCCTCCTCGTCCTCCTCGTCCTCTTTCTTTTTTTCCTCCAATCGCCAACCAACCACAACTGGGGGGAGCCGAAACGGATGGGTCCCCCGCGGGGGTAGGGCCCACAACCCATCCAATTTTAGCTGGTCTGAACCGTGAGCCCCTTGCACCTGACTCTGCCGACAACCCTGCTCTCCTTGCCAATCAGCCCTTGTTGCTGCTATTGCCGCGCTACTACGCCTCATCCTTATTCTGCCCGCTAATGCTGCTATTCCTCCAACTCCTCCCCTGCTCTGCTCAATGTTACTCTCCTGATAGGTCAGACGCCGTCTCGATCATCATTACGCAACTGCTCCTCTCCGCGCGTGCGTGAGATCGCACCAGTATCAACATAGCGGCTATCCCGTGATCGTAGCGACGGCACAAACGAAATTTTTCGATGTGTACAATGTGTGTATGCGCATGTGCACCAAAGCTGTCTAACACCCTCAAGCTTCCAATCCACATGATTTCAGACACCCCTCTAACCGACGGAAAATGCAAACCGACGGAAACGAACAACTGACGGACACTCTGCTTCCAAACACTAGCAAAAACAGGCGCCTGCGGCGCCGTGCCGCAGGCGCCTCAGACGAGAAGGACTGCTGACTCGCATCTAGGCCTTTCTGGCTGTAGTTGGCAAGGTGTGCTTGTGTCAAGCATATGTAGCCTTGGACAAGCACGCGTTTAGTTAAGCCTGGCGTTTTAGTAGCCTGCTTTTTCTGCTTGCAGTCGCCTGGCGTTTTAGTAGCCTGCGTTAAGCCTGGCATGTTTAAGCCCGGCAGTGACTGTGGCCGGGCCTGCTTTTCACTAAGGCCATGATTTTCTGCTGCTTCTGGGGTGTGTCGGGGGATTTTCAGAGCCCCAGCAAGCGCAGTCGGAAGGTCAAGCCTCCAACGCGCCCCAAGATGGTCGCAAAATCCTGTCCTGGAGCCGTCTTTGGTTTCTGTTGGGCCGGCTTATGGGGCCCTCGAGGTCAGCTCAAGAGCCGCACATTCTAGGACATCGCAACGGCTTTTTTCATGGGTTTAGCATTCTCGCCTTCCTTGTCTTCGCAGCGTCCGAGAAGGCCCAAAGAAGCCCCCATGACCGCCCGGAGACGAGGGTCCGCCGTCCGCGCGAAATCGATTCGCGCGAAAACTGCGGGCCGTTCGAAAGAAATCCGCTGGGCGCGCGCGCGCGAAAAGAACCCACGGCATCCCAGAAGATGGCGGGAACCATGATTTTGGAGAAGTCGCGGCTGGAAAACCCCCGAAATTCCGGTTCCCGGCTCTGGCTGGCGCCCCTGGGGCCCACGGCGGCCCCGAGGATGGCGGGAACCATGATTTTGGAGAGGTCCAGGCCGGAAAAACCCGAAATCGTGGTTCCCAGCTCTGGTTGGCGCCCCTGGGGCCCACGGCGGCCCCGAGGATGGTGGGAACCACGATTTTGGAGGGATCCAGGCCGGAAAAGCCCGAAATCGTGGTTCCCAGCTCTGGCTGGCGCCCCTGGGGCCCACGGCGGCCCCGAGGATGGCGGGAACCACGATTTTGGAGAGATCCAGGCCGGAAAAGCCCGAAATCGTGGTTCCCAGCTCTGGCTGGCGCCCCTGGGGCCCACGGCGGCCCCGAGGATGGCGGGAACCACGATTTTGGAGAGATCCAGGCCGGAAAAGCCCGAAATCGTGGTTCCCAGCTCTGGCTGGCGCCCCTGGGACCCACGGCGGCCCCGAGGATGGCGGGAACCACGATTTTGGAGAGATCCAGGCCGGAAAAGCCCGAAATCGTGGTTCCCAGCTCTGGCTGGCGCCCCTGGGGCCCACGGCGGCCCCGAGGATGGCGGGAACCACGATTTTGGAGAGATCCAGGCCGGAAAAGCCCGAAATCGTGGTTCCCAGCTCTGGCTGGCGCCCCTGGGGCCCACGGCGGCCCCGAGGATGGCGGGAACCACGATTTTGGAGAGATCCAGGCCGGAAAACCCGAAATCGTGGTTCCCAGCTCTGGCTGGCGCCCCTGGGACCCACGGCGGCCCCGAGGATGGCGGGAACCACGATTTTGGAGAAGTCGAGGCCGGAAAAGCCCGAAATCGTGGTTCCCAGCTCTGGCTGGCGCCCCTGGGACCCACGGCGGCCCCGAGGATGGCGGGAACCACGATTTTGGAGAGATCCAGGCCGGAAAAGCCCGAAATCATGGTTCCCAGCTCTGGCTGGCGCCCCTGGGGCCCACGGCGGCCCCGAGGATGGCGGGAACCACGATTTTGGAGAGATCCAGGCCGGAAAAGCCCGAAATCATGGTTCCCAGCTCTGGCTGGCGCCCCTGGGACCCACGGCGGCCCCGAGGATGGCGGGAACCATGATTTGGAGAGATCCAGGCCAAAACCCGAAATCGTGGTTCCCAGCTGTGGCTGGCGCCCCTGGGACCCACGGCGGCCCCGAGGATGGCGGGAACCACGATTTTGGAGAGATCCAGGCCGGAAAAGCCCGAAATCATGGTTCCCAGCTCTGGCTGGCGCCCCTGGGACCCACGGCGGCTCCGAGGATGGCGGGAACCACGATTTGGAGGAGATCCAAGCCGGAAAAGCTCGAAATCATGGTTCCCAGCTCTTTGGCTGCCGCCCCTAGACATCCCAGGCCGGAAAAGCCCGGAAATCCATGGTTCCCAGCTGCTGGCTGGCGCCCCCGGAAAAGCCTGAAATCGTGGTTCCCAGCTCTGGCTGGCGCCCTGGGACCCACGGCGGCCCCGAGGATGGCGGGAACCATGATTTTGGAGAGATCCAGGCCGGAAAAACCCGAAATCGTGGTTCCCAGCTCTGGCTGGCGCCCCTGGGGCCCACGGCGGCCCCGACGATGGCGGGAACCACGATTTTGGAGAGATCCAGGCCGGAAAAGCCCGAAATCGTGGTTCCCAGCTCTGGCTGGCGCCCCTGGGGCCCACGGCGGCCCCGAGGATGGCAGATCCAGGCCGGAAAAGCCCGAAATCGTGGTTCCCAGCTCTGGCTGGCGCCCCTGGGACCCACCGCGGCCCCGAGGATGGCGGGTCCAGGCCGGAAAAGCCCGAAATCGTGGTTCCCAGCTCTGGCTGGCGCTCCTGGGAGCCACGGCGGCCCCGAGGATGGCGGGAACCACGATTTTGGAGAGATCCAGGCCGGAAAAGCCCGAAATCGTGGTTCCCAGCTCTGGCTGGCGCCCCTGGGACCCACGGCGGCCCCGAGGATGGCGGGAACCACGATTTTGGAGAGATCCAGGCCGGAAAAGCCCGAAATCGTGGTTCCCAGCTCTGGCTGGCGCCCCTGGGACCCACGGCGGCCCCGAGGATGGCGGGAACCACGATTTTGGAGAGATCCAGGCCGGAAAAGCCCGAAATCGTGGTTCCCAGCTCTGGCTGGCGCCCCTGGGACCCACGGCGGCCCCGAGGATGGCGGGAACCACGATTTTGGAGAGATCCAGGCCGGAAAAGCCCGAAATCGTGGTTCCCAGCTCTGGCTGGCGCCCCTGGGGCCCACGGCGGCCCCGAGGATGGCGGGAACCACGATTTTGGAGAGATCCAGGCCGGAAAAGCCCGAAATCGTGGTTCCCAGCTCTGGCTGGCGCCCCTGGGACCCACGGCGGCCCCGAGGATGGCGGGAACCACGATTTTGGAGAGATCCAGGCCGGAAAAGCCCGAAATCGTGGTTCCCAGCTCTGGCTGGCGCCCCTGGGGCCCACGGCGGCCCCGAGGATGGCGGGAACCACGATTTTGGAGAGATCCAGGCCGGAAAAGCCCGAAATCGTGGTTCCCAGCTCTGGCTGGCGCCCCTGGGGCCCACGGCGGCCCCGAGGATGGCGGGAACCACGATTTTGGAGAGATCCAGGCCGGAAAAGCCCGAAATCGTGGTTCCCAGCTCTGGCTGGCGCCCCTGGGACCACGGCGGCCCCGAGGATGGCGGGAACCACGATTTTGGAGAGATCCAAACCGGAAAAGCCCGAAATCGTGGTTCCCAGCTCTGGCTGGCGCCCCTGGGGCCCACGGCGGCCCCGAGGATGGCGGGAACCACGATTTTGGAGAGATCCAGGCCGGAAAAGCCCGAAATCGTGGTTCCCAGCTCTGGCTGGCGCCCCTGGGAGCCACGGCGGCCCCGAGGATGCTGTGCTCTCTGCTGTTCTCTGCTGTTCTCTGCTGTTCTCTGCTGCTCTCTGCTGTTCTCTGCTGTTCTCTGCTGCTCTCTGCTGCTCTCTGCTGTTCTCTGCTGTTCTCTGCTGTTCTCTGCTGCTCTCTGCTGCTCTCTGCTGTTCTCTGCTGTTCTCTGCTGCTCTCTGCTGTTCTCTGCTGTTCTCTGCTGTTCTCTGCTGCTCTCTGCTGCTCTCTGCTGTTCTCTGCTGTTCTCTGCTGTTCTCTGCTGTTCTCTGCTGTTCTCTGCTGCTCTCTGCTGCTCTCTGCTGCTCTCTGCTGCTCTGGATTGGTTTTCGCTCGGTTGGTTTTCGCTTGAACGGATTACCTTTTCGCTCGAACGAGCGTCTTTTCGCTTGAACGATCCACCCTCCCCGGAGACGGCCCCCGAGGCCTCCAGCAGGGGCCGCACGAGCCTCCAAGACAGCCTCAGGAGGGGCCACAACGCGCGAAGCGCGCCGCCGCTGGACCGCTGGAAGCCTCCCCTCCAAGAGGGCACACACGTATATCCATGTATATGTGTGCTTATATCAGTCATACATATATGCATATGTGTAGATACGTGTGTATATATACACACATATAGATACTGAAATGTTTACGTGCCTGTATATGTATATGAATATGTCTATGTTCAGGCATACGTATACGCATATGCGTATGCAATTGTATATGTATGTGTTTGTGCTTAAGTATATACATATGCCTATGCACATGCATATGTACGTGCACATGCACACACATATATAATGTGTATACATATACAGCTACATGCATATGTATATGTATGGAGAATATGT